AAAGCTGTAATGCATCATATGAATCAGAAAACGAAGAAAGAGTTGTTACAGTTTTCCAAAATAAACCTTACATATCAAGAACACTAAGGTGTACAACAGCAAAACAAAATCCAATGTTTCATACTTATTCAAGCATATACAGCAAATTAATTCCTCAAGCTATATGTGAACAAACACAGCCTTATTAATGCAAAAGGGCTGAGAAAGTTTCTCAGGAATTTTCAGGGAAAAACAAAAGCTGTTGACTAGTTACGAACAATACATTACACACAAATACATTTAGATCTTGAATCGATGGTCAAATCAGTAAGTGTACTTGATCACCAATGTAGATTAATCACCTTGAGCTTGTTGGGTATTTTGTTTTGTTTTAAATAACAGACATTTTTAAAAATTATTATTTACAAAAATACTGATAATGGCTCACAGTTCTACCACCTCAATACTTTCCTCTTCTTCTTTTGATCTTTTCTACCACCTCAGCAGTATCTTCAGTAGTTTTTTGAGTAACTACATGCTGCTCAGGCTCCTTTTGCATAAGATCCATTGATAATATGCTCTGACTCAGTTCACTGATATATTTCAGACCATTTACATCCGAAAGCTTCTGGTTCTGTGAAATGGTTGAAAAGGCTTTTTTAAGGCCCACATCAGTATTGGTGGTTTCTGTTTAGTTTTTTCTGGAAATAGCACCGCTTCAGTTTCAGGGGTAGGGAATCGTACTTTATACACTTCAGGGTAAGATTTCTGAAACTAGAAAAATACATAAACTTAAATGAGGAATTCACTCAAACTTGTAATATAAAAAACTACTAAAGTGCAACCTCCACCTCTGGAGCAGGAAAATTATCATTTCTCTAATGGACTTTCTAGACCTCTATGTAGAAAATTAGGTGATATTTTCTAATATGGCTTGATTAATCACAGTACCCCTATTCCAAACAATTTAAAAGTTTGAAATCCCTGAGAGTATCTACTATTTTAAATCTCAGTATTTGTCTAGAAGACTACACGTCTAAGACTTGATAGAGCTTTTTAAGTTAAAATTAAAGACTGTGGAGGAATTTTTATTTACTTGCTTGAGCTTCTTCTTTTTGTCTTTCACAGATATTTCTTTATTAGTTGCAATTTCTTCCAATAAAGCTGCCAGTGGTTCTTGAGAGCCAGTTGCCCTTTGGTATTCAAATTCATCTGTACTGATTTGGCAACAAAATGATGGAGGAGGAAAATTTGCATCGGTATCAGCTCCAGCATATTTTATCTGAAGAAAAAAATTTTAAAAAGAGCAGCTATGTTTTCTGCAATAGATTTGCGAAAACTGCCTTAATCAAATTGACCACTTGAAGTCATTAAGTAGAGAAGATATGGAATAAAGACCCTAAATTGTACCTCATATCCTCTGCGCTAATTAGGTGAGTTCTAGTAAGTCAAAAAACATGACATAACGGAAGCCTATTTAACTCTTGGAATAAGTTAAAAGTTACTTTTTCGGTAGAAATTAAAGAAGGAAGAACTAAAAAGCAGCTTTGAACAAAACAAAATATGGTATCAAGAGACAGAAAAAAGAGTTATGAAAAAGCTGAACAGAGCAAGTAAGGATGGCTTTAAAAGAAAATCAGAACATTGATGGAAATATTTTATAACCTTTCACAATTCTCCTCACTACCCATACAGTTTGTCCATTCCATGGAGAAGATAGTGCTGAGCAACAGGAAAACACATTTCAGAGTTCTTGTCTCTAAACCATTCAAGATCTACTTAATTTCATTTAAATAAATAGTTATAGTTGAATATCAGCAGTCAAAATTAATTAGCTCTTCATAAGCTAGCAGAGATAGAACAAAGTCTTTAAGAACTGTTGAACGTTGGAGCAGGAAGGATAAATTTGATCTAGAAGCAGAGAGACATAAGAGGCTTTTTTGACTAGATACCTACTTGGACTCTCTGGAGATGTACGACATGTTCCTCTATAGAAGATTTTAAGGCAGAAGGAACACTTAAGATTTCTTGACAATTGTCCATGAGAAAAGATACTAGTTTAGCAGCAAGCAGTTCATCCAAGTCCATTTCATCCTTTGAGCAGAGAATACAACGGGAAAATGCCTGAACCATCTGAGAAAAAAAAACAAACATCATTAGTGTATATTTTTCTGTTTGGGGTGGGGGAATAGGGAATCAAACTGTATTTAAAAAGTGATCTTTTACAAAAAAGGGTTTCTGTCATGTACCATAGACTACACTCCTGAATTAAAACTTAGTACAAAGTACTCGGACTGTAAAGGATTAATTTCTAAAAATAACATCTAGATTATAACATAATTAATTTAATCAAAGACCATTTACAGGTAATTAAATTATAACTTTAGCAGTCAAATTTTATTTTAATCAAATACTATTCATAGTTAATTAAAAACTTAATTGCTGTGGAACAAATTTAGATTTATGCATGCTACTATAGGATTTTTACGGAGTGGTTCTACAGCTGTTGCCCTTCTTGAAAAAGACTTGAAAATTAACCCAAAGAAATACATTTTCTTAGCCAGTCAGAATTACTAAGTTACGTGTAATAGCTTTGTAATAACATGCTGCTGCAAACATCAGTAGTAACTCTACAAGTAGTCCTACAGAAAGAGCATTAGCAAAAGCCAGGGCTTTGTCAAAACCTGATTAAAATTACTTTCAGAGATTTCTGTAGTCAAGTGATGAAAAAGAATTAGTATTGAAATAAACTGGTAGGAATTCTTTTTTAAATGGCTGAAAATAGGTAAATCAAAACATTAGCTACAGATTCCTAACTATGACTGGAACAGGTAGCCTGTTTCTCTCACATTGTCTGCAGTGATAAAGAACACCAGATACCTCATCTGCTGTATTCCTTTTCTACTCAATAGTGAAATTAGTGCTGATTTAACTTTGAAAGATAAGGAAACCTCCACATTCTGAGCAAATTCTTCATTTGCTCACAACTTACCAAGAAATCCCGATTTATTCAAATTCAGAGTAGCTTTCCACATAGCTAGAATAGGCAAATTGTTCTTCAAACAAGCAAACTGTATTTTGTATACACTCTCCAGTAAGATTTTCTTATCTGTGCAACTCCAAAAGCCTCATCTAGATCTTTTGCCTTACACTACACGTACCAAGGTTCTGGTCTTCACTGATTCTGAAAGAGGTGGCAAATCCTTGTTAAAGCTGATTTTTGACATCATCCTCACCAATAGCTGTAGTTTTTTCCGATTTTCTGGTGGCAGCAGAAGACAAGATATCTGAAGAGCTTCTATGGCCTTGCTGTGGTTTTGCAGCAGACCTGGTTTATACAAGATCAGCAGATTGAGCAACATTTCTTAATTATGTATTTCCATAACATTTAACATAATATTTCTAAAACAGTTTCCCCAAATCCCTTTCCTACTCTTTCAAGACTGATTTAGAACTCCGCTCCTCAAACAGGCTAGGAAGATATCCCTAGAACTGGACTACTAGAACTGGGCACCTTGTTTAAGTATTTACAAAATTTCCTTCTGATGCATCAGGAGATACTAATAACCATGACCAACAAATCTAGATATTAGTAGACATGAAAAGCTACAACATTTTCATTCACCCTTTGCTCTTTTATAACCCTCAGCTCTAAATACAACTGAGATGTATGCACAGATACAGCAACCACATAAAGTTAAGTCTGGAGCAACAATCACGGAATCTAAACAAAACATGTGCTTATGCATCAGTGACAGTTATGACAATGCTGAGATGTCCCTCACACCTATAGAATTTAAATCTATGATTAGTTCTACTTACAAACTCCTGAGAAAACACAGAATGTGAGCATGGCAGATATTTGAAGACTGGACAGGCACAGTAGAATCTGATAGTAGTTTAGGTGCCTATAGAGAGGTCTCACCACTGAAATGTTATCCTCTTTTGGGTTTCTAAGGCTCATTGAAGAAAGCATCTACTACACATTTGCCTAAATAGCACTAGTATCAAAATGAAACAGAAGTCAGGAGCAAAATATCTTCATGACTGAAGTCTAACAGTAATTTCTCTTAAGAACAACATCTTTCTCTCAAGAGCAACAAAGCTGGTGAAGGGTCTGGAGAAAAAGTCTTACAAGGAGCGACTGAGGGAGCTGGGGTTGTTTAGTCTGGAGAAGAGGAGGCTGAGGGGAGAACTTACCACCCTCTACAACTACCTGAAAGGAGGTTGTAGCGAGGTGGGGGTTGATCTCTTCTCCCCAGTAACTAGTGATACAAGAAGAAGAAACGGTCTCAAGTTGCACCAGGGGAGGTTCAGGCTGGATATTAGGAAAAACTTCTTCACTGTAAGAGTTGTTAGGCATTGGAACAGGGTCCCAGGGGGGTGGTGGAGTCACCATCCCTGGAGGTGTTCAAAAAACGTTTAGATGTGGCACTTCGAGACACGGTTTAGTGGGTTTAGTGGGCATGGTGGCATCAGGTATATGGTTGGACTTGATGATCTTTGAGGTCTCTTCCAACCATAATAATTCTGTGATTCTTACAAAAGGAACAAGGAAGACAACAAAGGGTAAACTTATTGTTTTCCATAGGATTATAGAGGTTGGAAGAGATCTCTGGAGATTATCTAGGTCTCTCCTCCTGCTCAAAGCAGGGTCATCTACAAGATGCCCAGGACTACATCCTGTCAGGTTTTGAATATCTCCAAAGATGGAGATTCCACAGCCTCTGTGGACAACTTCTTCCAGTGTTTGACCACCTTCCAATTAAAAAAGCTATTTTCCTATGCATAAATTAAGTTTCCTGTATTTCTTTTTGTGCCCATTGCCTCTTGTCTTGTTACTGGATATCACTGATAGAAGTCTGGCTCCCTCGTCTTTACTCCTCCCACATCAGTCTTTTACACACATTGACAAGATCCTCCTTGAGCCTCCTCTTCTCCAGGCTAAACAGTTCCTGCTTTCAGCCTCTCCCTATATGACATGCTCCAAGCCCTTAATAATTTTTGTGGTCCTCCACTGGACTCAGTGACTAATTGTGAGGAAAGATCTCCCTCAACCTGCTGGCAATGCTTGTAATGCAGCTAAGGATGCTGCTGGTCTTCTTTGCCACAAGGATACACTGCTGGCTTGTCGCCACATTAGTGCCCACCAGGACTGCCAAGTCCTTCCTTACTACATCTGCTTTCAAGTCAGTCACCCACAGCATGCACTAGTGCACAGGGTTATTCCTCCCCAGGAAACAACTTGGCATTTCCCTTTGTAGAATATTATGAGATTCCTGTTCGCCCATTTCTCTAGCCTGTTAAGGTCTCTCTGCATGGCAGTACGTCCTCTGCTGCATTAACCACTCTTCCCCATTTTGTATTATCTGCATGCTTGTTTAGGGCACTGTGTCCTTGTTTAGAAGAGTGTCCCACCATTCAGGTCATTAATGAAGTGTTAACTACTACCGGCCCAATTATCAGCCCTGGAGTACTCTCTACTGGTTGACCCCCAGTGAGACTTTGTGCCACTGATCACAACCCTCTGAGCCCAGCAACTCAGCCAGTTTTTGGTCTGCTCCACTACTCACTTATCTAGCTTGTACTTCCTCAGTTTGCCTATAAAGATGTGATGGGAGAAGTGTTGAAAGCTTTACTACAGTCAACATAAACAGCATTCCACTGCTGTCTCTTCATCCACCATGCCAGTCAATTCCACATAGTGTAACAAGTGAAAGCTGTTTGTTATTAAAAAAGGAACAGAAGTGTGCAGTAGAAAGTAAGGCAGCCAAAACAGACAGTACTGCAAGAGTGGTAAAGCACTGTAGTTAATTTCATTTTTAGAGCAAAGCTTTTTCCAATTTCAAAAGAAGATTTGGCAAGCACGCTACTGCATATGTTTAGAAGAAGCCCTGAGAAATAATAATTAACTTTAATGAGATTTGTACATAAAGAATCATTATAACCTGTGCAAAGAGCAAGTTTAATCTTGCCAAGTTAGTAAAATATCCCATGATCACTGACACTTTAGACCTATTTTCTTAGCTATTCTGAAAACTGATTTCAGCCAACCTCTTGGAAGACAAGTGCTCTAGACTTCATTCGAAAACAGAAGCAAGTGAGGCATCTTGATATGGTTACACAAGCCACCTATGATTTCTGCAAATATTCTTCAGGTTTTAAGATTGAGCTTTTAGACATATACAAATCACATCATAGCTGCCTTAAATGACTAAAAATATAATCTGATAACACTTTCTTTGCTATTTCCTGAAGTCTTCCACTAAACAGAAAGCTTATCCACTGTAGGAAGAAAGAAGTCCTATAACCACTGTGGAAAGGTTGTAATTCCCTGAGGGTAGCCATATGAAAAGTCAAAGACTCAAAGATTGAAATCTTGGTTTATAAATGTCTTGAGAATCATTGCCAATTTAGCAAGCCATACTCCACTAAAAAACCACAGAAATGCAACTGCAGACATGGATCTGCTTTTCCGTATTTTGTAAATGCACAACTTGCTAAGCAATTACTGCTTCACAGTCAGCATTCAGTACTAGCATTGACACTTACTACAAAATAGTATGCCATGGAGTGCGTGTTATCCTCTACATTTACCTACAGCTTCATCATGGTCTGTACATTAGTGTCATTAAAACTTAGTTACATATTGAGCAGAACCCAAAACTTTCCCCTTTAGCTCTCAGCTGAACCCCCCAACAGTTCCTTCCTCCTTCCCCTCTCCCCCTGCTCCCAAGAATCACAGATCAAATCTCAGAAGATAGTCTGAGTGGTTAGAGAAGGCCTTGCTACCGAAACTACAGATCGGGCATCTCTGCCTTATATTTACTTGTTTAGTTTCTTACTGCTGGTTCTAAGTAGTTTTGAGTATAAAAAGGAGAGTTAGGCTTCACCACAGGTAGGCTGAATTGCCTCCTTGAACTCCCTCCTCTGGCTAGATAGGGAGCATAATCTTGAATTATAAAAAAGTGGAAAAGACACCTGGGGATCATCTGGCCCAACCCCACCCCCAGTCAGAGGGTGCCTAACTCAGGTATCCCAAATCATCCCCCTAAGGCCAAATGAAGTTTTGTAGCCATTCAAATACCTGTATTAGGTGTCTGGTGGAGGCTATTTAGGCAAGACTTCTAGAGAAACATGACATTTTCAAACATATACTGCCAGTACTTATTACTATTAATACAAGTAAAGATGGAAAACAAACTAAGTAGTTCTTGAAAGCCGGTATTCCCATAATATTTTGTGTAAATCTATTTTTGTTAGTAAAGAAGGATTCCATATTAACACCTCATTTTTTGGTGAAAGAGACCACAAAATGATTTTTTGACTTTTTGAAACAGTGCACAGTTTCCTTTCATTTCCACATAAACACTGGCATGAATTCTTTCTTCTCATTTTTACATCTGTGAAATACTGTGAAATAAAACTCTTAAAACCTGAAAGATGTGAAATACAATGGAAAAGCAAACAGAAGGAGAGTATGAAAGAGGGGAAGAATTTTTAAAGATATCAAGAATATCTGTTGTCTCAGAAAAAGAAGTCAAAAAAGGAAGTATATTCAGCTTGAAGCAAGATTGTCAACTAACAAAGTATAAAAATACTAAATTCTAGAAATAAAACTATTATTCTGAATTCCTTTTTCGTCTCAATAGTTTATTAAAGCAATGGTGTTCCCACTTAAAGAAGGTCCAAAAAGTGACATGCTACAAAGCATGCTTACTTTTCAACTCAGTTGCTCTTTTCTGAAATGTAATCATAAATTGTAATCAAATATTTTCACATTTATTGTCTTTGAATGGGCTGTCTATAGCTACAGGATAGGTGAGTTTGATATACTGTGAATGGTTAAAAAGTTATAGATAATAACTAAACTATAGTTTCTTTAAGGCACCAGATTAATTAATGTCTATTCTAAGTTTAAGCAATGAAGGATTTCAATTTCATTCAGAGTCATACTGCCAGGGTTAAAAACAGTCCTTACAGCTCTAATCCTTTTTAATCTAAACTTCAGTCAAGCAATTTCTAAAAGCTTCTGTGAGTTTTTAAGATGCTTGGGCATTTGTAAAAAAAGAAAAATCTGTTAAAATCCATCTCTTAGGTGTGGTAGTGCTAAGCAATGAACAGATGTCTTCAAAAATTATAGACAACAATGGAAGACCTTTGAACTAATGTGATCAAAAAGACACAAAAATAAAACTCCTCTGTGATATGAAATAAATTTAAATATTGAACTGTTCTCTATGTAGAATGGACAGGAAATGTCCTAAAGAAATGAGTTGTGATACTAGTTGGGTATGGTAAATTAATTCCAGGAAGTTAATTCAAAAGAATGATTTTTTCATTACATCTCAAACTACTTACCTAACACACTAACAAAAACATCAAAAAAATGAAATGTGAGAAGAGGTTCTTTCATCTGCCCAAAGTAGTCCACTATAGTTTTGAAGACGTCTCTTTCAAATCCTGAGTATGTAGGCTGCTTCAAATCTGAGCAGCTGGGCCCTATAAAGGGGGGGTGGGGGGAAAAAAATTTAATTTGCAGCCACCAACCAGATCACTATTTTCTATTCCAGCCAATAAAAATGCAATGTCAAGTAAAACAAAAACCAAACCAAACCAAACCAAACACTCAGACTCATTCTTCAAAATTTAAGTGAAATTGTATTGATCTATTGAATTAGTCTATTTCCAGGTGTAGTGAAAACACATAGTAGGGGAAAAATATGAATAGAATAGTTAAACCTTTATATATTTCATTGAAATAAGTTGCACTGGCAGGAGAATATATGCTGGCTGATCTTTTCCAACTTTGTTTAAGGCAATGATCCGAAAAAATATTGACTGTGAATGTAGACAGGATTTGATAAAGTGGTAAAGACATAGTGAGTTCAATTGATTTTTATGGGGGTGGGTTGCTAATTTTTTTTTTTTTTCCCCTCCTGAATTTACTTACAATTTGCTAGACATTTCATTGCTGATAATATCCAGTGAGGTAGTTCTTCTGCATAGGGCAGAAACAAGCAGAAATTAAAAGGTGAAAAAAAACTGAGAAAAATGTTAAACTGTAAGATAAAAACAAAGCTGAATATTCTTTAAGTTCCTCCTATATAGTAGATTGACTGATTGCAAAGACTGGCTATACATTAACATAGGATCTAGCTTGAATTACATCTATACTTTAGTACCTCCAGTACTCGATATCAACCAATTATGCCTGCTGCTCTTACAACTCAGTCAGCAAAATGGATCATATTGCAAATCCTTAACCTGCCCTGCAAAAACCAGCCAAACTAGTTCAAGCTACACATTCACTAGTGCATTACAGTGAAGTGTTTACTTTGCACTGAAGATGATGAAAAGCACTTACATATTCAGTTCTGCCATTTCTGCAAGGAGGAAATGAATATCTTGTGGTGCTCCAATTGTCTTTAAAACACACAAGTATATGCTCTGGAGGAGGTTTCATTCACAAATGAAACCAGGTTCCAATCTCATATTTCACTTCTCTACAAATCTTGTGGAAAATATGGTGGCAATAATATTGCAAGTGATACATATATCATAGCAGCAAAGATGCTTTACTTTCTTCCTGATGTGCAAAGCAGTTTTAAACTCAGTACTAGTTTCAAAACATATTGCCTAAAAACTCAAAACTGAGAAATTTTAAGCATCTCTCAGTGTACATTTTGATTCTTTCCCAATTTTTAATACACATTTCCCTCATGTATGCACTCCTGTTCAGGCAGTTAAGAGCTGGGCTGACAAAGTCTATCTTTATAAATGAAAAGTTCTTGCTCTTTCACCTTCATCTTTCAAGCCTACTAAAGCAGGAATATGTTTAAGAGAGTAAATATGGAATAAAGACTGATTCTTACTATTGTGATGTCAGAGGACAATGACATACTTTGTAAAAACTCTAGTACAGATGTGGTCATACAAGTTTAAAAATGCTACATATTAGTACAGATTAGAACTAATACTTTTTTAATACTAGTAAACTACAATATAAAAAGTTAAATGAAAACTTCTAAAATACTCACTTGATTTGTCTTCTAAAGTGACAATGCCCTGCTTATTGACATTATATGCATTTTGGACTATGTGCTTTGAATTCACAAGTTTTGTGTCTAACACTTCATCCAGAGAATCCAAACCCAAGACCTTTTGTAATCTGTAAAAATACATAAACACATAGTTCATACATCATCTAATCTGAAAAAGGCAAACATGTAGCATTAAGATAGATATGAAACTGAAAACAAGACCTCTCCATTTCATAGAATCATAGAATATCTCAAGTTGGAAGGGACCCGTAAGGATCATCAAGTCCAACTCCCTGCTCCTCGCAGGACTACCTAAACCTAAGCGATATGACTAAGAGCCTTGACCAGATGCTTGTTGAACTCTGACAGGTTTGGTGCCATGACCACTTCCCTGGGGAGTCTGTTCCAGTGACTGACCATCCTCTCAGTGAAGAATCTTTTCCTAATGTCCCATCTGAACTTCTCCGACACAGCTTCATTCCACCTCCTCGTGTCCTGTCACTCGTCACCAGAGAGAGGAGGTCAGCACCTCCCCCTCTGCTGCACACCATGGTGAAGCTGTAGGCTGTGATGAGGTTACCCCTCGGCCTTCTCTGCTCCAAGCTGAGCAAACCAAGTGACCTCAGCTGCTCAGTCAAGTCTTGCCCTCGAGACCTTTCAACATCTTGGTCACTCTCCTCTGGACACACTCCAATAGTTTGATGTCCTTCTTGTATTGAGATGCCCAAAACTGCACACAGCACTCAAGGTGGGGCCGCACCTGTGCGGTGTTAAGACAATCCCCTCCCTAGAGTGCCTGGCTGTGCTGTGCTTGGGGGACCCCAGGACATGTTGGCCCTTTCGGCTGCCAGGGCACACTGTTCACTCATATTCGACTTGCCATCAACCCAAATCACCAGATCTCTTTCTGCAGGGCTGCTCTCCAGCCTCTCGTCCCACAATTTGTACATATAACCAGGGTTACCCCATCCCAGGTGCAGAATCCGGCACTTGCTTTTGTTAAATTTCATACAGTTGGTGATTGCCCAACTCTCTACTCTATCCAGATCTCTCTGTAAGGCCTCTTGACTCTTGAGAGAGTCCACAGTCCCTCCTAATTTAGTATCATCAACAAACTTACTTAACATACATTGGATTCCTGCATCCAGATCATTTATAAAAGCATTACAGAGCAGTGGCCCTAAAATCAAGCCCTGGGGAACCACACTGGTGACTGTCCAACAGCCTGATGTAACCCCATTTACTATAACCCTTTGAGCCTGACCTATCAGCCAATTGCTCACCCAATGCATTATGGACTTGTCTAGCTGTGTGCTAGACAGTTTATCTAGAAGGATATTGTGAGCCATAGTGTCAAAAGCTTTGTTTAAAATCCAAAACGACCACGTCAACTGGATTCCCTTGGTAAACTAGGCGGGTGACTTTGTCATAAAAGGAAATCAAGTTGGTTAAGCAGGGCTTTCCCCTCACGAACCTGTGCTGGCTATGACCAATGACTGCATTGTCTCTCAAGTGTTTTTCAATAACTCCCAGAATAACCTTGTCCATAATTTTACCAGGCACTGAAGTGAGACTGACAGGCCTGTAATTACCAGGGTCTTCCTTCTTACCCTTCTTGAAAACTGGGACATTTGCCAGCTTCCATTCGACTAGGACCTCTCCAGACTCCCAAGACCATTGAAAAATAATGGAGAGAAGTACTGCGATGACACTGGCCAGCTCTTTCTGTACCCTGGGATGAATCCCATCAGCCCCCATAGACTTACGTGCATCCAGCTGGAGCAGCAAGTCTCGGACAAGTTCAGGGTCAGCTGGGAGTGTCTCATCCCCCAAGTCACAGTCTTCCAACACAGGGCTCCAGCAGTCCCAGGGCCCATCATCGGTGTTGAAGACAGAGGCAAAGGCGGCATTAAACATCTCTGCTTTGTCTACATCCCTATTTGTGAGGTGACTGACTTTGTCAAACAATGGACTAATGTTATTTTCATTCTCCGTTTGCTATTAACATATTTCAAAAAGCACTTTTTGTTGTTCTTCGCAGTGCTGGCCAGCTTGAACTCTACTTGAGCTTTAGCTGCACAAATTTTCTCCCTACAGTGGCAAACAGCACCTCCTACAACTGGTGCCTACTACTGGCGAACAGTAGTCCTTCCGTATCACCTGTCCTTGCTTCCAATGTCTGTACACTTTCCTTTTCCGCCTAAGTTCTAGAAGAACATCCGTACTCAGCCAAGCCAGCCTTCTGCCCCACCTGCTTGACGCTTTGGAATTGCCAGCTCCTGAGTTTTTAAGAGATGGCTCTTTAAAAATGACTAGCATTCATGGACCCCAGTACCTTCTAAAGCAGATTCCCAGGGGACCTGCCTAACTAGCTCCTTCAGGAGCCCGAAGTCTGCTCTCCCCATACCCAGGGTCGATGTTCTGCTGGCAGTTTTTCTCCTATCACTAGTGATTTGAAACTCATCTACTTCACGGTCACTGTGACCAAGGCAGCCACCTTTGCGCTGACAAGTCCCTCTCTGTTTACAAACAAAAAATCTAAGAGGCCACCTTTCCTAGTCGGCTCCCTTAGTACCTGCACCAAGAAGTTATCTTCAACATGCTTCAGAAATTTCCTGGACCTGTGTCCTGGTTTGGATAAAACAGGACCAGTTCTTCTTTCAGTAGATTTTCCTTCAGTTAAGTTTCTTCTAAGTAACTGCACGTTTTGAAGTTGGCTACATGTTTTTCAGACAGTGTCTGCTTTTAGAACTGATAATGCTTGATTTTTACAGTTGTTACTAAGGTAACGGTAGGATTGATATGCAGAAAGGCCTTAGTATATATATATTATTCTTATTATACTTATTCCTATGGAAACCAAGGTACTGTTGGCTCTCTTACGGTCCACAAGTGAAAAG